TTTACCAATGTATTAGTTACTACTGATTTTATTTCCTTTCTAAAATGGCTAGATCAGTTACCATTTATGGAAATCTTAGATTCCCCAATGTGGAGTTTATATTCCAAATTTTTGTAAATCTTGTAAAATGTAAATCATGCATGATTCCTCACTCGCATACAAAGTTTGCAAGGTTTGGTTTTGTGGTTTCAGATTTTATTCTGTGAAATAAACAGTAACTGGCTTTGATTTTTTAAATAGCTTTTCATTTTATAATCTTGTCTATATAAGACTCTGTAACAGGATAAAGTTAAAAAGGAGATGATACAACCATGGAGACATTCCATCCAAAGTTGTGATCAAGTAATATATTGACAATATTTTCCTGAATCTGTCCAGGGATTGTCTGCTTAAAACCGAGACAAAAGTGTCAGCTGAGCGATTTAGTAAAAATCTTGAATTACATATGCATGTAGGTAAGATGGGGAAATTTGTCCTGGAATTCCTTTTCTCCTCTGGCTCTACTCCCTTTCTCCCAGTTATTTCCTTGCCTCTGTTCCTACTGCTGTTTCCATTTTTAATGCACAGTTGTTTCAGCATGTCTTTTCAAGGAGTAGTACTTCTAATGGTTCTTCATGCCATCTGATGTGGCTTATGTGCCAGAAACCTCCTGACTGACTGATTTATGATGTTAAGGATGACATTGTTTCAATTATATGGAGAAGTGGTGCCAGCTGGAAAGGTATGTGAAAAGGACAGTGAAAGGCCCTGATTGGAATCCCAGCCTCACTGCACTGGCTGTTGTGCAAACAACAAATAGGTGCAGTCTCTACCCAAAAGAATTTCAGTCCTGTTCTAGGGCTCTGCACAATCTTAAGGCAGTATCTGCACACAGAGTGATTCTTCCAGATAACATTTCATCACATGTATATAGCAAATCTATGATTGGAAAGAAAATAAAGATTGAGGGGTGTCTCATTTCTGGTGCTTTGCCATACTTACCAGGTACATCTCTACAGCTAAACAGTGTCAGGGAGAGAACCCAGCTACTGGAGCCTGGATAGTCCTGAACTCTTTTACCCATTTATACTGCCTGAAATCCAGCATCATCTTTGAGTCGAAAAGAATTAAAAATGCCATGCTAGTTAAGAGCTGGCAGTAGGTATGGCTGCTTCTGTGAAACACTGTGTCTGTTCTGCTCTCCTGTCCAAACCGGAACAGAAAAAATAGAGGAGGTTCCAAATCAGAAGCTCTACTCTGAAGATGGATCTATTTGGCCTGCTCATTTTAGAAATAGTGTGAGTGAAAAAGACCTGAAAGATTTTCAGAAGAGGAATAAATTTAAGCTGCATGGTTTCCTGTCCCTCCTATTGCAATACAATGGAGTTGAAGCAAATTTCCCATTAAAACAAGCAAACATGGAAGCAGTGGCATTTACAGCACAGGAAATCATTACAGTTCCATGTAAGCTGAAGATGAGCACTGATACTTTATACACAGAATCTAATAGGAATTTTTGAATGGAACATAGAGAAACAACCAACCTTGAACACTTTAAACAACATTTAATTAATATAAGATTAAATTTTACGTAGGGACTTGTAATTAAAAAAAAACAGGATTTCTTGGTTTTTTGTTTTGGTGGGTTTTTTTGTTTGTTTGGGTTTGGTTGTTTGGTGGGTTTTTTTTGTTTGATTGGGTTTTTTTGTTTTGTTTTTGTTTTTTTGGGGGGGAGGGGTGTTTGTTGTTTTTTTTTTCCTTTTTTTTTTCCCCAGCTAGTACCTTTCAGTGATGGCGACTCATTTATTAGACTGTCTGAATACAGAGTCCAGTCCTGGGTTTTTAACATTATCATTCCTTTGGTCATACTTGTGACAAAACTGATCATACAATTTCAAGAAAAATTGAGAGAGAAGTTTCCAAACTGCTGTTCTCTTTCCACACCCTCATCTTATTTCCATCTTTCCTGGACTGAGTTGTCGTGTAATAGTTTTACCAAACATCACTTGGTGATCTGGCATTACATCCTCTTTTCTTGCTGCTAAGCTGCAATATTCCTGACAAGTGATAGACTACATAAAAAAAGTTTTGAAGATTGGGCTGGGGAAATTATCCATGTTGCTCTGTTTGACTGAAAAAAAGTAGTGTGTCTTCTTAGAAATTATTCATAATCATATGGATGCAATATAATTTGTTACTTAATGTATTCTGATTCATCACCAATTCTTTCAGCCATTCTCTACTGCCGGCTGCTAGTCCTGTTGGGATCACCCAGTTGCCTTAGAACCACCCTGTTGCTCTTGTGATCTCTTATTTTGTCTCCTGAGTAGATGCCACTACGTAGCGGAAGTTTTGGGCTGTATGTTGCATAAATATACATTCACAGGGGAATTGGGATCTTGCTTTTCTGAAATATTTTTGCTGTAAAAACAAGGAAAATAATTTATCGGTAAACAAGATGAAGCATAAATGATGCATAGAAACGCAATGAAAATTCTTAACTGATCACTAATAATTCATGTCCATAATCCTCTGATTCTGCCAAGATTTCTTATGTTTGATCCTGGCGGTTTAGATAAATGAAAGAAAAAAACGTTGATTATGAAGCATGAAAATATAGTGTGAAAGTGCCTTATGTTTCTCTTTCAGTGTGTTTTGAGCCTGTCTAGAGAAATGGAAAGGTTGTTCACTCTCTGGGTTTTTTTTAGGCTAGAATGTTTCTACCGAGGTTTAGAGCATGTCTTTTTTTTTAAAAAAAAAAAATCAGTTGGAAACTGCGATTTTGCTGTATGTGGGGATTCTGGATTGAAATCTTATATCAAGTTATAGCAGGCTAAATGATCACAAAATTCCTTTCAGATTTTAATACCAATGTTTTTTGAAAATGAATTCTTTAACTTCTGTAGGAAAGCATCTGGCTGAACCTGGATGGATTCACCCATGCGTTTCTGTGGGCAGCTGAGGAATGACTTGATGGCAATATTCGATAACGTGTAAAGGTTTGACTCTTTGCACATTGCTACGTTTCTTGATACCATTGTGCTTAATTTTCATTTCCCCTTTTCTCCAGAAGAATTCAGACTTCAGAGGAAAGGTGGTGAATCTGCACACTGTGAGTGTAATTTCCTGCCTGGGAGCAGAGATTGCCGAAGGAACAATGCTGACTCAACACAAAACCCAGCAGCCTTTCTTCCTCGCCACTTCTAAAATTTCAGGCTGTGCCTTGCCAAGTGGAAGATGCTGGAGGGCATTATTGCAACCTTCTGATTTTCTTTCCCACTTTGTGGGCTGTGATGGGGTCTGCTCACACAAACACTGAGATGTGGCTGACCTTACTACGCTTTACTCTTTTTCAGCATCTCTCAGCAGATCATCGATAACAGTCCTTCACCAAACACCGATCTTTCTTCAGAACAGAACTAGTTTCTTTTTCCCTGTTGATATTGTACTTGTTGCCTCCCGGTAGCTTTGGAGGTGCTGAGATGTTGTATACAGCAGAACCACGAGGCATTACATTTCTCCTGCCTAAATAATAAATAAGAATATTTTTTCCATCTGCACATCTGGAGCTCCTGAACAAGGAAGCAAGGAAAGTTGGAAAGTTGAGGTTGCAGAGTCAAGCATTCCTGTGTTGGGGAGTACCAGAATGTTTTACTCCAGACTCAAGTGCAGCCATCTTTGCATATGCATCATAACTCATAATCCATCTGCTGCTTTGTTGAGGCAGCCCTCTTTTCTCCCACATTCCTCAGGTCTCAGTGTCCTTCTCAGGCTCTCATTCTTTCCATGTTTTTGGTCTAGCTGTACCTGCTGGCCTTCAGGTCACACTATTTTCTCTCACGTTGTAATTCTTTTTCTGCTCTAATTCTCATGTACCTTTTTAGACCCAGTGAGTCATTCATCTGCATCTGAGTCAGAATAGAAGCAGGATCCCACATCTTCATGTAGGTGTCTAACATTTTCATTGTCTACAACAGCAGCAATTTTCAAGGAAAGACTTGCCGCAAATACAGTATTGGGGAAGTTATCCCAAACCAGTCTCTCCCGAAGATATGGGAACGGGGATTTTTCAAGGGCCGTATGCAAAAAGGGATGTAAACCTTCCCTGGGAGTGTGTTTTATCTTCCCTACTCTCTACGTGTTTCTAGTTCTTTTACCTATCGTAAAGGAGAGAGGTTTTTCAAAGTAAAAATCAGAATCTTGTCAGAATGCCTGAAAGGTGTACACTTTAGGGGGTGCAAACTTTCACAGACTACCAGTTTGAAAAATGTGGCAATATTCCTTATCAGTTTAATTTTCATCTCTAGCAATAATTGAAAATCCACCATTTTCCAGTTACAGGTTATCTGTGGTTTCTTTTCAGAATTTCTTCAGTTGTTGCTCTCAGTTTGGGTACATTGCTCCTGCATATAGTCGAAAATGGAGCAAAAGGGACAGGTGCCTCCTGAAGAACACTGGTCCTATTTTCTACAGCTTTTCTCTTTTCTGTGGAACTGCAGACATGGGGAAATTCTGGTTCTCTTTAATTCCAAGGTCATAGTTACTTGATTTGCATGGTGTCCCAACCCATTTTTCACAGTACTGCATTGCACTCTGGCGTTTTTCATCATTTATTGATAGAGACAAATCTTCCTCTTCTTTTCTACCTTTTTCCTTTATTTCCGGCAAAGAGACATCCATGTCACCTTCTTTATAAAAATAATGATCCTGAATTGTAAGGTATGTTTCCAAAAATCCTCACGAATATGTTACCTCTTACATCTCATATTTCCATGGAAGAGAAAACTTTTATACAGTAGAGAAACTAGCTTAGAAAGCAAAGTTTATTCATTAACGTATTATTTCAAAATTACTCATGTGACATGATACAGTTCCTTATTTGCAGCTCAGAACTTCCCTGTATCTGCAGGGGAAAGGATTTGTTAATCCAGTTCAGTGCAGAAGGGCTTTCTTGCAAGGCACAGATTTGGTCTTCAGCATCAATTTGAGGTGAAGGGGAGAAGGGAGTGAAACATCTGGCCATGGCTGTCTACCTGCTCCTGATTTTTCTCTTTTCCTTCAGTACATCTCTTCAAATGTCTGGTAAGTCTTTGTCCTCTGCTGAGTATGGAGGTTTGCAAGTTCTTTCTCATGCTTTCCTGGTGTCCTCCTTGGTGGACAGTGAGTTTAGATCTAGTCACAGCATATAATTTGAAATGGTTTTATTCAACTCTCAAATTTGGTGGTATCTGTATAGGTATTCTGTTTCCTTAACCCAGTTTTCAAGGTGGTGTATGAGTGAAAGAAATATGCCAACAGATGTGGGCATAACCTAGACAGTACTGATTCTTGAAAATCAGCCAGCTGAATGCAGACAAAAGCTGATCTGAACTTACTCTATTGGAGGTTAGAACAACTCAGATGTATGGGGCAGTGTCCTCTCAGCATGCGTAGAACCACTGGCTGATGTGTGCTTTGAGTTTCTTAGACAGCTCATATAGGCTATGGCATACTGATTGTTGCATGTTGGAATCCTGTTTCCAAGCTGATGGCTTTTAGGAAGGACCTTAAAAGCTTCTGTCTGTTAGATTTCAGACACCCCTACTGCTGAGAGGAAAACAAATGATGCTGTGCCTGCAGCTCTTTCCCGCAGGAAGCTCCCAGCTAGAGAACTGTGGGAGTCCAGTGCTATCACTTGAATGGCAGCAGGGACTAGCCAACGCTGATCTAATCCACTACAGGAGAATTTATTCTGTGCAGGTTTTTGGGTGAGACCAAGCTGGCTCTAACCCATCCTCTGCTAACCTTCTCAAGAACCACTGCAGCAGGAGAGCTGTGCCAGGGGAAATGCCGTCTGGCTTGTTCAGGTGTGCAGCCTTCCAGAGAAACACCACCGAGGCCGTTCGACTGCTCCCTGGCAGCTCTGGGATGTGGGGGGTTATGAAGCCCCGTTTAACTGTTCCACCCCTGGCAAAGAAACCTTGGGTGGCTGTAAAGCTCAGTGGCACAGCAGGGTGAGTTGGATGATGCTGTCACTTAGAGGGGAGCTAAGGGATGCAAGGTGAGCTGCAAAAATGGTCAAGGTTTGGAGCAGGCTGAAGTTGTGTCCCTTTTTTGAAGCTGATCTTAAGAAACAAAGCCCTGTTGTGCAGTGTCTCACATTTCTATTTACAAGTGTAGCTATTAATGGCACTTAGGATACTTACTTAGCTTAACTGTGCTCAGAATTGAAGTGATGATGCTGCAAGTTGTGGCTTCCCTCCTGAGAAACTCACAAGTTGAACTCTATGAAGAAATGACTTTTTTGCAAAAATTTCCAAAATAATTAATAAAAAATGAAAAGTACCCCACTTGCTTGACGAGCTGAAAACCAAAACGTCATTCTGGGCCAAATATAAAAATGGTTGAATTTTGAGTATGTAAACCATTTTTAATACCTCTAAAGCAAAAAGTCCTTTTACTTGCAAAATTAAAGCCTATTTAATAAGTTGTGTGGTGGTGGAACTTTAAAGAACTCATGAATTTAATAAAGGTCATTTTTGAATGGCATTTTGAGAACAGCGTGCTTTAGGGACGGATGTGAAGAGAGCAATTTCTCTTGAAAGAGCTCTATTTTCAGCTTCTGTGTTGCTTGCATCTCAAGAATATTTAAGAATATTTTGATGAATATCCTTCATACTGATGATTAACCTCCCTTGATTTCTTTCTTTATGGACTCTATCTATTCAATTCTTTGTTGTAGCAGGCTGCCAAATAGCAAGTAACTGACTTATCTCCCATGAAATCTCTCCTCAGATGTTTGCATTCTCATTTTATTTTATAGATAGTGGAATATTTTCAATCTATAATGAAGATAGCAAGCTCTGCGCTCAAGCTCAAAACTCTAGCTCGGTCATAACTACTGCTTGTGATGAGCACAACGAGTTTCAAAGGTTCAGGTGGGTCTCTGCCACGCAGCTGCTGAGCGTGGCCCTCAAGCTGTGCCTGGGAGTGCTCACCAAGGACGATGAGGCTGCCATCACGCTGGAATCCTGTAACAGGACGAATGAGCTCCAGTGGTGGGAATGTAGAAATGAGATGCTTGCAACCCACGGCAAGGATTTATTTTTCAACTACGGCAAAGGGAAGGGGAAGAAAAGCAGGTTGTCCAAAGGATCGGGCAAAGGGAGCCGGTGGAAAATCCATGGAACCACAGACAGCGTGTGCTCCCAGCGCTATGAGGGTAAGTACTGAAAATTAATCTCTATTTCTAGGTAACTTGGCTGCCCTTATTTGCAAAGCATTTCACCGCCTGCTTGTCATGCAGCAACCCTTTTCTTACAGTGACATCAGTAGCAGAGCTGACTACAAATAGGGAGTAGAAATGCAAAGCAAATATGACCGTATACATTTCTGCATAATTCGGAAAGTGCAATTCTGTCAAATGATAGAATAAAATAACAAAGGCCTATGATGTAATTATAAGGGAGAATGGGAATTCTCTTTGTACAGCAACAGTGTGAGGAAATCTATGACTGTTTCAAAATGTGATCAACTTGTAGAAGAAGTGGTGATTGTGCTATATTTAAATATTTATTGTTGCTATTACTTGGTTTGCCCATGTCCTATCCCTAAGAAGTTAATTTCTAGTTAACATAGACGTGATCCACTTTTAACAGTGTTTACCTGGTGTTTCCCAGGCCCAGCAAGAAGAAAAAGTTGGAAAAAGCAAGGAAGGAAAGGAAGGAAAAACAGTGCTTTAATAGTTTAGGATGCAATAAGGCCTAACACCCTGACAAAGGAACACTGGAGAGTCAGATCTCCTTTTCCTGCATTATTATCCCTCATGGGCTATGCAGAGTGGGCATCCAGGCTGAAGTGTTCAACCTCCTTTCTACCTTGATACTGGTAGGGTGGGAAGTTAAATAACAAGGGATGAAATTCTTGCCGTGTCCTACAACAGTTCCAGCTGGAATGAAGTTTGTAATAATTTTGTTCAGATAATAGCAAATTAGACTGCATAGAGATGGGAGGGTCACTTCCCAGCAAATTTAAGATAAAATTTCCTTTTATGAAAACTAATAAAATATTCTGATATTATTCTGATAAAAATATATCTCCTTTCCAAGCCTCTTCAACCATACAGGGAAAAAAAAAGTTCCTAAACATCATCCAAGACAGAGGTATGTATGTAATAGGAGAAGCTGAGTCATGAACACTTCTGACACAGTAGTCCAGATAGCAATGAAAAGAAAAAATTAGACAGAAATTAGTCTGAGGACCAAATAAGGGTTGTTTGAGAGTCTTCATTCTGAATATCTTGCCATAGTCATATCTAATTGGCACAACAGCTTTGGAAAGCTTTGTAGTATTAAAGTACTGATGTGTTGAGCTCTTGCACAACTCAACTGTGTCCATGGAGAGCTGCCTGTGAGCAGATACTGTGGTGATCATTTGATACCAACTGACTACTATTGCTCTATGTTTCTCTCCGTAGATATCTATACACTGGGAGGAAATGCCTTTGGTGCACCTTGCGTGTTCCCTTTTAAGTTCAATGGTAAATGGTATGCTGAGTGCATCCCTCGGAATAATGATGCAGGCTCTCTCTGGTGTGCAACTTCTTCAGATTTTGATAAAGACCAGTTTTTTGGAAATTGTCCACTAAAAGGTAATTTATTTGTAAAGATTTCAGGAAAGGCATTAAGCAAAATCCACTCTCATGGTCAAAATCTCCTTGGGATGTGGAAGTAACATTGGACTGCGAGCTGGATTCTGGCTAACCTAGTTCACTGGTGAGCTATGCAATGATAAAATGAGGTGTCTGCTCTTCTCTCTCATTGTTTATCCAGCAGAGATGAGTAGTCCTACAGTACTCTCGAGAGTGGTAGATACAGGGAGTATTGCGAGGGTGGTGACTGGGACTGATGGAAAAAGGAAGAGAAAACCCCTAGGACTAGGTGAGAAGAAAGTCAGGGCGAATGAAAGGCAGAAAGAAGTGCCATGGATGAGGAAGGTGAGATACAGGGAAGCAGGAGACAGTGGTGTATCATAGGATGGAGCAAAGAACAGGAGGGCTGGAGCAAACGGAAGGGTGCAGGACACGGGCAGTGACGTTCACCTGCTTTCGGTGCTCCAGTGCTCCTTACACCCACAAACCACCCAACGCAGCTTTCCAGTAACCCCAGCACAAACACCCTACGCCTTCACCCCTGCTTCACATCTCATTGGAAATGATTGTTTCTGTCGTGTTGGGAGGTCTGGGAGAGCATAAGAGGGGTGCCAAGGTAAGAAATGGATATGAAGACCAAGATTTTTTGTATAGGGAATAGGGAAATGTGTTTGTACAGTTAGAATATATCAGTGAGTGGGTTAATGTGGACTGAATTTGAGAGAAGTAGATGAGTTATATAAATAAAAAAGAACAGGGTGAATGTAGAAAAATTAGGTTTGTAAGGAGAAATAATTCCTTATGTTATTAATTTGTTATTAATATTGAATGGACAAAGTATATATATGGGGCAAACTGTGTGTAAAAACTTAGCAAAACATACAGTTACATAGTTTTAATCTGCAATGAAGATTTTATTTTCTGCATTAGCAAGTATGATTATCTTGTCAAGTTGCTATTATCATGTTTTATAGACACCATCCACAACGACCTTTGGAAAACAAATCCTGTGACGGAAACCCACTATCAGATAAACTCACAGTCACTTTTGACATGGCACCAAGCAAGAAAAAGCTGCCAGCAGCAGAATGCAGAGTTACTAAGTGTCACAGACCTTCATGAAGAAATGTATTTATTAGGTAAAGTAAAAAAAAAACCAAACAAATTAATGCATATGGTTAAAATGAAGGTCAGCTCCAAGAGCTTTAACATGGATACTTATATTTATGTTGTGAAAACAGGTCTTAATGACATTCTTAAAAAAGTTTGTCACTTTCTCACAAAAAAATCTTTTAGAACATTGGAAAAAATCTAACCTATATTAAAAAAAAATCTACTATGACACTTCTTCCACGCTTTAAAATTTTATTTCAAGTTTTATTGAATAATTTACAAAATCAGAGACATTTGATAACTTGACTGTTCATTTCTTTTGGCCGTTTAGGGCTCACTAGTGACCTGGGTGTCAATGTGAAGCTCTGGACTGGTCTTTTCAGGGCACTTGACAGTGGCTGGCAGTGGATTGGGGGCAGTCCTTTCAGATACCTGAACTGGGCTCCAGGTAAGTGCACTTTTCTGAAATGACAATCAGCATCTGGGCCAAAATTCTCTTCTCTTCCCCAAATTCCTGTTACCTAATTCCTTTGGTTTCATGGAGTTTTCACAGATTACAGGGGATTATGGGAAAGGTAGGATATTACAGTAATAGGGATCACACCAGAGATGGATCGCCATTAATTCTGAATTTCCCAGAAAAAGCAGACAGCTCATCTAAGAAAAAACTTAAAACCAAATATCTACAGCTCATTCTATATTTTTTTTCCATCCACAATTTTCTCATCAGGCATATTATTCAAACCAAACAAAAAACCTATGAAAAATCATCTAAAGAGAATGTAAAGAAAAGAGAAAAAAAAAAACTGAAGAGAAACATTGCATAAAAAATATTTTCAATTGTTCTTCTTGGTTACTGCTTATGACATTTATCTGATGTACATTATCTTAGTAAGTTTCCACTCTTTTCTTAGGATCCAAGTCATCATCTTGCATGTTGCCATATTACATATTTTCATAATAGTTGTTGTAACCTCAGGGAAATCCAAAGGGTGAGCACTCCCGTGGAATTAAATATGCATTTCATGTCCAGTGTTTAACAGTAAAGGATGTTGAGTTGTTTGCAATGCTATCATCCCATAAGGAATTTATATAAAAGCTTTATTTGTATAAAGTTTTTTCCATATGTTGCAGTACTTCAAACACACTTAATTTCTTGTTAAGCAGTGCATGGGAGAAGAGCAAGTCTCATGTCTGAAATGTCGGCCCTCTCGGCCATCCCAGTGGTGCTCCCTCACCTCCTCTCTTGGAAATTATCACTCTAAAGAATAATACACCGGTCGCTTTGCAGCTGCAAAAGACTTGTGTGTTCCTTCCTGTAATGAAGTGAAAATTTTCAGTGTTAATAGAGGGATTTTCTGTATGTTGTGCCTCTTTCCCAAAGGAAATCCCTCTGTGGAATCTGGAAAAATATGTGGGACCTTCCAAGGTAGGAATGGCAAATGGGAAAACCAGGTATGTGATTGGAAACTGGGATATATCTGCCAAAAGAGAAACTCCTCCTCAGATTCCTCCACTATTGCCTCAGGTAAGTTGATCAAAAAATAGGGCTCTTTTTGCGGTGAGTGAGAAATACTGGGAGGATGCCATATATGAAATGACAGTATGTTGTCAAAACAAAAGGGTTATACTTTTTGACCTGGATCAAACACTGGGAACACTTTAATTTTCTGGCTTATTTTAAAGATGATGTCTAGATGTTGTTCATCATTTTGAAAAGATCCCAGAGTACTAAAGAAGGCAGGATTATGTGTTTAGTCATGTTATCCAGACCACAAAATACCAATGAATATCCTGTGCTCTGAAAAATACACTAAAGATGTGTTCTGCAAAAATCTGTGAGCCAGAGTTCATGTTCCCCCTGCTCTCTCTGACCCTTTTTGCTATATTCTAAAATGAAAAATTCAGAATATGGGGCCGCCACCCTTTCCCAATTGAGTTCCCTTTCCACCTGAGGCAAACTAGGTCTTGTCTATGTAAAGAAAATGGTGTGCAGTTAACTTCACTTGGGAATTCCCAGCAAGCTACTAACTCTAGAGTGACTCCCTCAACTACATATATACTAGTATATAAGATTATTCTCTGGCTCAGGGGATGAATGGCACATCATAACTGGCATCCTGTACATCCTGGCTGCATCCAGACAGCTTTCTGGGAACGGTTTCTGACCCATTCCAGCCTCCAAACCATGTCTGGATGTTGCCTAGGGGAATACAAATTTGCACAGGTCAAAACCACGTCCAGGGAGCATTGAACAATGTGGTTGATCACACGCCAACGTTGGGCGCACATCCTGCCCGCTTCAGTTTACTTTATAGGTGCAGATCATGTGAAACTTCAAAGCAGTGGAAAATGGTTGGCCATACTAAATTCACACCAAGAAATAACCACTGAACAAAGTGTGCGGCTTTTCTGTGCAGCTGGGATTTCTGACATCTGGTATAACATAAATGTGTCTGGACTCCCTGATATATGATTTGGGCTGTGCAGGAGCTCCAACTGGCTCCTGAGCACCTGGTGTTTCCAGGGAAAAAATATACATTACCCTCAAAATTCACCAAGATAAAAGTCCCTGTGTAGGAAAAGAGGCCCGCCCTATTCTGTAAAACGTGGCTGTAAGCAGAGCTTCACTGAGGGGGATTTAACACGGAGCTGTGCCCTGCAAGTTTGCATGCCAAATTAGTTAGTGTTTATTTAATCCTGTAAAAGAGTTTTTTAGTAGCTCCCAGCACAATTGGGATGGAAAAATCTGTTTTGTATTCTTTATGATCCTCAGACTTTTGCTTCTCTCCTCTGCCAGTATGTACTCCAATATTTCAAATTTGTGTCAGTACAGGTAATTTTCTTTTTGATTAAAAGAAAGCACTGAACAGGACTGCTCATTAATTGTTTGAAATAATTTTTTTAGGTGACTTAAAGCCTTTTAAGTGCCCCAGGGAATGGGTGGCCTATGCAGGTCATTGTTATAGAATTTACAGAACACCCAAAATATGGAAAGAAGCCCAGTCTTCCTGTAGAAAAGAAGATGGAGAGCTGGCGAGTATTCATAATATTGAGGAGTACAGTTTTACAGTGTCTCAGCTTGGGTACAGTGAGTATTCCTGCAGGTCACTTTTTTATCTGGAATTATACTGTTGCTATTATTCATTTAATCATTGTAACCGTGTTCTTAAATGTTTTTTAAAAAGTCCTTCTTCAGTCAAAAGCGGGTGTGAGATGTGATTGTTCCATTTTAAGACATACCCGTACCTACAATTATATTTGTGTTCCCAGAGCCAGATGATGAGCTGTGGATTGGTCTAAATGACTTCAGGGTTCAAATGTATTTTGAATGGAGTGATGGGACACCTGTGACTTATACCAAGTGGCATCATGGAGAGCCAACCCACACACGAAATAAGGCAGACTGCATCGTTATGAAGGGAGAGGTAAAAATCACTGTCCCACTTCCATACTTTCTTATGTCCTTTGTGCCCCCAGAAAGGAAAACATCTGTGACCAAAAAAAAAAAAAATTCAAAAAGGGACAGGGGTTTTAAAGGTTTTTATGAACTGGATTTAATTCAGAATATCTTAGTGTGGAGGGAGACTGGAGGCAAGATCTAGGAAGGTGTATGGTGGAGCTCCAGAAGCAGTGCGCTGTGCTGAGACTTGGTCTGCTCGGCAACAGTTACAACGAATCTCCTGTCTGAAATTGGTTGAAGTAACACGTCATCCACTTTCAACATGACTGATCATAGCTGCATAGTATACAATTCTTAGAGCAGGGACTTTCTTATGTTTCCCCTAAGACACCTAAAATATACATTTATTAGAGCTACTTTGGAGGCTCATATCACTGGAGGCACAAAAAATTAGGTACAAAAAATTGTATCTTGTTTTATACTCAGCATAAAATGACATCTCATAATACTACGGAAACAGACTTAAACAATACATTTTTCATATTTTATGTTTAGTTTATCCAGGATTTCCTTGCTGTTGTCATCTGGTTATATGAACATAATAAACACCATGCTGGTGAGAATAGAGTGGAACAGCGTATTTGCTTCTTCCTTTCACCAGCCACTGAACCTTTAATACATGCAACCCTCATTCTTACACATCTGAGGAAATGTGGCCCTAACTGTCTTTATTGTGTTCCCTATTTGGGAGTTTTGGAGAAAGCATCAAGGCAAGGAAGAGAGCTGAAACAGCCTCAGCCACATGAAGGGAGAGGGGTTCTTTCTGAGGATGGTGAATATTCCTGTTGGATCTGGATTTTCTCTAGATTTCACTTCTTTTTGTCATTTCTTCTTACCATGCTCAGGATGGATCCTGGGCTGACAGTGCTTGTGAAACAAAACTCGGTTACATCTGTAAAAGGAAACCTTTGGCAGAAGAATCAGGGGAAGCTGAGGTTACTTACCCAGGCTGCCAGAAAGTAAGTGTAAAAAAGGTCATTACATCTTACTTTCACTCCCATGATGGTGAGTATCACGGAAGTCAATTATTTCAACTATTCTTGGTGGAGCCCTAGAATACTGTTAATTCATATGGATGGATACTTCTCAGACTAACGGGGGAAAATTTTACTTATTTAACCAAAATGTAGGTCGACTTATTTTTTCCCCTCCCTTACATACGCACTTCACTCAGCTCTCTCCTAGTGCAGAACTGGTCTCTTCACCCCTAAAAGCTGCTCTCTGCAGAGCGTGTCAGTATTTTTTCATCCATCTCAGTATTCTCACTGGTCTTGGGTTGCACGCAGCCTTCTCAGTTCAATCAATCTGCCACAGGAGGCAGGAATATTTGAGCTGACTGTTTCGCAGATTGTTCGTAGCCTCTTGCAACAGCTACACTTACAGAATGAGAAGGCAGAGCAGGCTTTACACGAGGAGCTGCAAAGCGGCTGTGAGCATTCTTGCCAGCTCCCAGTCATAACCACGGCTCACCGCTCGCAAAGACCCCTTGTGCGTCCTTTATCAAGGAGCAAGACACAGAGTTGTGGTCACAAAAGATATGTTTGATTTGTTTCTTCTCGTGGCTTCTGAAATTAATTTTGACTTGGGGTGTGATATTAACGTGGCTTTTGGAAGTGTACTGTGCTGCGCAATCTGACAGCCCCTCCGTGCATCTCTGCTGTGGACACTGACAGGGCTGGATGAAGCACGGCTTTTACTGCTACTCCATCGGGCAGTTACCAGCGACATTTTCAGAAGCAAAACAAATCTGTGAAGAAAACAAAGGTTACCTGGCTACTGTGACAGACAGGTATGGAAACATAATTCTTGTCCTTTCATATGTGTAACCAGGATGGAAGGGCCAAACAGAAATCTCTTCCTACTTTGCAGTTTTTCGTAGTGTCTCATGTGACACCACTCCTTTGCTGGAAAATTTATGGCAGAACTGAAGAAGTGTTACAAAATACATCAGGGGCTTGTATGTCATCAATACAAACATTTAAGCCATTGCTACTACACATCTACGCTATTGTTGACCCCAGGAATTAAAAAATTGAGTCAACCCCTCAACAGGTCTGAATTGCCAGATTGTTTTAAAACTTCTTGAACTAAAAATAAACAGATAAACATGGAACTACTTAATTCTTCTGGATTTGAGCTTTTCAGCCTTTTCTTTGCAACAGGCAGATCTGGAAACTTACCCTTTTTGGAATAAAGGTAGATTTTTTCCCCCAGAGCAACAAGATTTAAAGATCTAGACCTTATCATAAAGCTCAGTAAAACACTGTAGCACTTATTTGTAGAGAATGAATAACATATATGCATTAACACAAGTATTGTTTGGCTTGCGTTGTTCATTGTGCAGTACAAAAGGAGAACAGAATTACTCTAAATTCTAAACATGATTTACATTACCAAAATATAAAATAAAAATTAATTTGTACGACAATTAGAACTATAAAAGTAAGATCATAACCCTTGCTTCAATCTATACGTATCTTTTTCCATATCACCTTTACCAGATTTGCTACAAAGAACTGTTTGAAAAAATGAACAAATTACGATAAAATGTGATACATCAGTTTGGTACTTATTCTTCACAGATATGAACAAGCTTTTGTGACTTCTGTAATTGGATTTAATCCAGCAAAGTATTTCTGGATTGGTCTCTCAGACACAGAGGAGCAGGGGACGTTCAGGTGGGCCGGCGGGGACGTGGTCACCTTCACTCACTCCCGGTACGTGCCACAGGGGCCACCGAGTTTCTGCTCTGGGGGCCCGACAAGTGAGGGTTTGGAAGCTAAATAGTCATTTTGAAACTCTGCTGGCATAAAGTGGCAAAAACGACATTGCAACTTTCCGTTTGTGCTAAAGGGATTAAATCAGAGCTCATGGTAGCTCCTTCCAGTAGACCACCTGGGACTGCATGTGTCTGTTGGTATCATTCACTCTGTGTTGTTTGATGGTTTTGATAGGTGATTCATAGTGTAATGTAAAAAGAATTTGATAAAATTTATTTATGATATAATTGAAATGCATGTGAGCTACTGTGAGCTATTGGCATCCAAACACAGCCGGGACAGGTTACATTTAGTTAAGTAGCATATGCTTTGAGAAGATGCAGCTGTTTATCAATAAGGTTTAAAAATTTTATGTTTCATGAAGGAAGGGAGTCAGGCTGCGTGGCCATGATAACAGGAACTTCGGCTGGATTATGGGATATTTTGAACTGTGAAGAAACAAACATGTTTCTCTGCAAGCAGCTGGTGGAGGGAGTGACCCCCCCTCCTCCTCCAACAACGACCCCTCTCCCATCGTGCCCAGAGGGATGGCAATCCATTCCTCAGAGCAGCTCCTGTTTCAAAGTAGGTGTTTAGCTTCTGAATGCAAATGCTTGTCATTTCAAATGAGAATGTGTTTCATGTATGCATGGAAGATGGATTTCAGCCTGCTTACCTGATAGGTAGTCTGTGGTAACATGTCTCCAGCCATCCCCAGGTAGCATGTCAGGGAAGTGCTGGAAAGTGCTGTATGTAGGTTAAACTGAAGATTGGAGTCACAGGGACTCTGAGATGATAGGAAAAGCAAAGTTGCAATAATAGAATTTGATAGGTGACCACAGACTTACGGTTACACAATTAAATAGTAAGTGATAAAACTAGAGACCAGGAGACCAGAAGAAAGATAGAAGCCCAGCTTCCTGAATTTCTGTAATACCCAGCACAATATTTAATTGTCCATTTTTTATAGATTTTTCAGGGAGGAAGGGAGAAAATGCAAACATGGTTTGGTGCAAGAGATTTTTGCAGAGCCATCGGAGGAGATCTGGCATGTATCCACAGTGAAGAAGAACAAAACTTAATAGCTGGCTTGTAAGTATCTGCACAGTCCATCGTTTGTTTAAAAAAAAAAAAAATTTAAAAAATGACCTTTCTGAAAGACATAAAGGATTTCTGGTGATCAATTTCTACTTTGCAAAGATGGTGTATATCTTGCAAAGGGGCAGAAGGAAAAGGGTAGAAAGAGGTGGGCGAAAGGGTTTCTTGGCAGGCCTCTGGGAAGGTGGTGCTATGCATTGAAGTAGCCTGAACATACATAAAAATGAAAGAAGGATCATCAAAATTGGTTTCAACTGAGTTTAGTTCAAAGGGATAAAACTGGTACTTTTAGCTCATTTTTAGTTGACTGGTAGATGAAATACTCTTTATTAAAGATATAGTTCGTGCTGCTTTCTTTCCTTATTTAAAGGGAAAATTTGGGAGGCTAAGAAAAGCCTGACCTATTGATATGCTTTTATAAATGTTTAAGTCAAGCCTTTGAGTACAGACAGGTCTGAATTTGGATGCCTGAGCTCCTTGGTCAAACCAAGACCTTAAAATATATTTTCATTTAACTCAGTAGCTGTGTGTCACTGCTTCCTGCCACATGCAGTGCCAGGGTGTTTTTCCCCACATGGGAATTGAATGATTACTTTATACGGCTGTCTCAAATGATACTTCAAGCATCAAAACACTGAGAATAACGTAATGATATATATTCTCCTTCTCTATTTCACACCGTGTCTGATTGTCTATATTTGTAATCATTCAGAAAGAGAGATTATCTTCACTTGTCTTACTGGATGGGTTTAAGTGCCTTGGACTCTGACAGTGGATTTATATGGAGTGATGGCTCACCAGTGAGTAAATAATTTATTGTTCCAGCTTTTTGTCTAATTTTCCATGTATATCTTGGCAGACAGCTCTCTCAGCTCCTCCTATGCAAGCCACAAGTAACCTTAAGTCTTTACTACCTGATTCCACCCTATGAATTAGTTTTTATCTTTTGATAGTTCATAGTTATAGATAACAGTATGACATTTAGAGTAATGAAATAACACCAAAAGTGATGGAATATCTCTCTTGATCTAGGCAAATCTGGTTGTACTAATCCCTATGTTCCCATTTGTCATTTACTGTTAGAAGTAATTTTGTATGTCTACACAAGCTAGGTTTTGTTGCCCTCGCTGCCTTAAGCAGATCAAGGTCTGCAAGGCCCAAGTCCATATGGCAGCACTGATGGATTGTCTCAGGTTGAAACATCAGAGCAGGATAAGCAACCCAGCGGCCAGAGGAAGCTACTTAGATACTTCTTTCTAGAGCTTGACAGGAGAACTTAATCTCTCCTGATAACAAAGAGGGCAACAACTTCTTGACTTACTAACATGGCTTATAAATACACAGACGAATCATTATGCTATGCAAGGGTCATGTCCTTCTCCTTACAAGGTCTGGCACCAAAGCACAAGATGGACCATGAAATCAAATGAAGTACATTCTTCTTTAACAGGATGATGTAAGACAATTGTTTCACTTTAAAATGAAAATAGTAACAAAGCTGTGTTTCTACTATAGGTAAATTTTGAAAAATGGGCAAATGGAGAACCAAACAATTATGATGGAAATGAAAAATGTGGCGTGTTTAATGGCTACACTAATATGAACTGGAATGATTTATTTTGTGAACATATGCAGGACTATGTCTGCCAAATAAAAAAAGGTAGGATGACTTTCTTCCTTGAGCCACTTCTAGAGACAGATAAGAACATCCTTTCCAGGTCAGATCACACTGTCTGCATGTATTAGAGCCAGCTGTGCCAGCAAGCACAATGAAACTCTTAATACATTTTCATTTAAATAAAAGCAATTGAAAACTACGAATTCATCCATGAGATACATGTGTAAGTTTGGGATGTATATGCAGCATGTTGACTAAGTGAAATCCAGCAGCCTAAAGTTGCGCATAGTTTCTGTAAGCTTAACTTGTGATCAGCGCTAGCATGGTATTTTGCTGAGTGTAACACTTTTTTTTCAGTTATTCTGAGAAATTCTGTGACAAAAATAAGCATACTGAGTAATCCTTAAGATTAATTTTATTCCTTGGAATTAAAATGCTAACAACTGTATAAATATATTTAATTGAGAGATGTCTAAGAAACGTAATATACTCAGATATTGATTTACATTGCAGGAGCATCACTGAAACCAGAGCCTACTTTCACATTCAGTAAGTCTTGTACTTCCAATAACAGAAATAAATTAACATATTAACATAATATGTTAATAAATTAACAAATAAATTAACATATTAATTTCTATTACAGACTGCTTAATGTTTTACCTTGCAGATTATGAATATATTGTTAGTGAAGATGACTGGATAATATATAATCACAAGGAATACTACTTCAGCAAGGAACCAATGCCTATGGAAAAAGCCAGGGACTTTTGCAAGAAGAATGGTGGTGATCTTGCTGTCATTGAGAGTGAAAGTGAAAAAAATTTTCTTTGGAAATATGTAAGAAACATGTTTTACTTCAGAAATGCACCGTTCTGTCCTGCACTGAGGCACCTTTTTCAGCTGGCTTGTGAAATATTAGAAAGTGGTCCCCATCACAAAAAAAATCAGTGCCACCTTTCATGGGCTTATCTGCTTAGGAGCTTTACCATAATCATAATTTTGACAAATTGCTACATGTAGACAAATCCTCAGCTTCTTTTCAAGAACACTCTTAGGGTGCAACTTTCAAAAACCTTTCTCTGTTTAGCTGAAAGCTACAGTTACTGAGTATGTTTTGTTTTCCAACTCATTCTCTTCACAGAACTGAATAAAAGCTTTTTCCCTTTTTTTGTCAGAACAGACTTCAGCTTTTCAGTAAAAGGTTCAAGCCAGAATATTTTCTAATAGGAAGAGAATAACCTGATGATGATATACTATTTTGGAAATAGTTTCATACTATTAAAAACAAATATGATTCCATCCTTTCCTCCTGTCCTGGTTTCGGCTGGGATAGAGTTAAATTTCTTCCTAGTGCTGTGTTTTGGATTTAGTATCAGAAGAATGTTGATAACACATTGATGTTTTTAGTTGCTGCTAAGTACCCTACTGGTCAAGGACTTTCAGCTTCCATGCTCTGCCAAGTGCACAAGAAGCTGGGAGGGAGCATAGCCAGGACAGCTGGCCCAGCTGGCCAACAGGGTATTCCATGCCATATGACGTCATGCTCAGTATATGAATGGTAGGCGTGTTCCAGGAAGTAGCAATCGCTATTTGGTTGTCGGTCAGTGTGGGTGGTGAGAAATTGCATTG